GTGTCTGGATTTGTTTCTCTAGTCATTCCAGACTAACACAGTCACAAAAAGGCAACTATTGTATGAAACCACTGTTATAAGAAAATGGACCAAGGCAGAGTTCCATACCAAAGAGACAGACTTTGGCGGTGACCACGGTGGTGTAGGGAAGGAAGATGAAGCCCGAGACTAGAAGGTTGGTAGGTCATCAACTTGGATGGGGGCGGGGGGGATAGGAGGAGGGGTGTAGGATAAGCTATTGGGAGTTTGATAAGTGGTTAACTTGTTGAATACAAAGTTAAAGATCTGAATTGCAAAACCCCCCCTCACCTAACTCACAATAAAAAAAAAATTAAATCAGCTATTAAAAACTCTGCGCAGTACAGTTCTGACACACGTGGGGTCATCACGAGCAAAATGAACTTCAACAGCGGCTCCGGTTTTACTGGTATCACCAGCTCTGTTCTCTGTATTTATTTGTGTTTTATCTATTACATCAGCGTGTGCATGCGTGAATAAAGGAACATAGACAGAGATGTGTACTGGGTTTACTGACTCAGTAACCAACTAGAAAAGTGCTTAAAAATGATTCAGTAAATATTTGTTCAACATACTGACTATGGTTTCATTGATAAATGTACACTTTTTAAAGTTTCATGGTGATAAAATACATAGAACAAACTTTATAAGTATGTGATTTCACATTAATCTGTACAACTTTATTTGTTAAAGATAAGCTTTCAGGAAATATTCATGTTTGAATATGTATACATGATTTCTCTCCTTCTGCATTCATTCATTCAATTACCCAGCAGAAACCAATTAAGTCCTTGTGAAGTGCCTGCCCCACCCAAAACACCAGTGAAAAAGACTACTAGTGAACAAGGTTGTTCGCGTGGGCCCCCAAGCTGGCTGGGAAGACAGACCGTACACATTTGTAAGCAAATGAATAATTATCTGTAGAGACAGAAGAAGGGAGTGGGGAATGGGCTGGAGGCCATGACGGCAGAGGCCTAGCTAGATGAGCTCAGAGAGGGCCCTTGCGTGATGACATTTAAGAGACCAGGCTTATTGGTTGACTCGAGACTGGTGAGACCCCAAAGACTGTGGCTTTTAGTCCCCCTTCAGGTCTGGATCTGGAATCACCGCTTTGTTAGCATAATCAGCCATTAATGGTTGCAAGGGCAGCATTTCTCCAAGGACAGAGGGTTAGGAGAGGAGGAGGATGGAGACAGGAAATGGAGGAAGTGGGATAAGGGAGGGTACAGTGAGAGAGAGAATTGATGGCCACAGAGGAGTTGAAACAAAACGTGACTAGATTGTTGGATGTAAAACTGATGATCGGCTCAGTAAACCTTCACCCAAATCACAACATAAAAGGTATTTTAAAAGACCTGAAGATTAGGAAGGCTTGATGCTATTCAGAAGAGGAAACCCCGATAGAGCAGCCATCTGCAAGAGTGAGTTTGGTACCCACAGCCTTAGCTAGTTCAAAGCCCTGGGGACAGAGAAGCCTTGGTAAGAAAAACAGAAGAGCTGCTGACTCCAAACAACGGTTTCATCCCCCCCCTGGGGAAGCCCATGGTTAGGGGCTCTGCTGCCAACTGAAAGGCGGCCGTGGAAACCCCACGGCTGGAGCCCATGCGCCAGCCGCTGCAGGAGAAAGCCCTGGCCGTCTGCGTGAACCCGCCAAGGAAGCCCTGTGTGGCCGTTCTACTTTGTCACACGGCTGCTAGGGATAAGAACTGAGGCCATGGCACCCAACCATCCTGAAAACGTCCCACGGACAGATCCTGTGTTCCTCATTTCCAAAATCAGGGTCATACCTAATAATACCGGGCAGGTGTGGGTGACGGTAGATCATGTATCTAAAGGTGCGGCTGTGGAGGGTGAAGGGGTAAGTAAGTAGTACTGCAGTGGGTGGGGGACCCCCTTGCCCTCCAATATACTTCCACTAAAGAAACCGTGTTGACTAGCACCTGCCGTGGTTCACTTTGGGTTGTGTCTTGGGGCGTATCCCAGGGGCCCTGGGCCCCAGAGGTCTCTCCAGAACCAGCCGCGTCCGCTCTCACCGATAGGCCCTGGACCCTGAGCCCCACAGGATGGGTGGACCCCGCCGGTCTCTCGGATGGCACCCGAAAAGGGGTCGAAAGCCGAAACGAGATGGCCTGCGTCTTCTGCTGGCCCCGGGCTAGCCCGC